AGCTTCACACGTGTATATGTGTGGAGCTTCACACGTGTATATGTGTGGGTGCACTGTTCTTCCCCACAGTAGCCTTTTCCCATCCTTGTGTGAAGGATTTTTGCTGCTGCTGTATAGCTTATCAAATGGCTAACGTACACATTTCTGGTTGAGCCACTGGCAGGATGGAGCCATTTTTGTAGGGTCCAGTGTAGCTTCCAAATTCACTCCCTGTGGTAAGTTCCTAGAGACAATGCCCCTGGCCAGAAGAAGCACTCTCTAAGGCCTCTGGTAGCTTAACCAGAGAAGGGCTGGGCTGTCTATTGGGCCCTTTGTAGAGTCCATTTGCTGTGGTGAGTCGTTCCCCCACTCCCCACCCCCTCTAGGGCCCTGGCTCATGCTAGGCCAGTACTTGTTCTAAGCCATGCTGTGCTGGGTTGCAAGCCTATGCCTGGTTTCTCCCAGAAAAGGGTGTGTCCTGCTCTGATGTTTTTGTCCCAGTCCCACAGCTGTCCAATCCCAAAGAAACAGGTTTATGTTAATTATAAATTGTTTGGCCTATTAGCTCAGGTTTATTATTAACTAACTCAATATTTTAATGTATAGTTCTTGTCTATGTTTAGCCGTGTGGCTTGGTACCTCTTCTCAGTTAAGATATTCTCATCTTGCTTCCTCTGTGTTTGGCTGGTTGTCCCACCTATTTACCTTCTGCCTGGCTACTGGTCAATCAACTTTTTATTGAACCAATATGAGAGGCAAATCTTTACAGTGTACAAGAAGCATTATCCCACAGCATATATGTTTATTATCTCCTTAAACTTGTGTTTCTTTGGGGGATGGGGGAATTTGGGGCAGGATCTCAACATCTGTCTTGGCCTGTCCTGGACGACCTCACTGTTAGACCAGGACTGTTAGACCTGAAAACCCAAGTACTAGGACGCCACCACTCCTGGCTTCTTTTTTAAAATTTTTACTTGCAGGTATGTGCGCGCATGCACGCACATGCATATGGAGTAGGAAGACAACTTTTGGGAGTTGGTTCTCCCTGTACATGACATCAGGATTAAACCCTCTCCTCGGGCTTTCAAGGCAACACATTCACCCTGAGCCATCTACCCTGGAGTGCTTTCTTTTTTAATGGCTTGGTTAGGACTTGTCTTATATTAAAGACAATGAAATTCTGTTGTGTTTATTCCGTGTAGTTGACCAGATTTTAATTTGTCTTTCTCCTTATGGCATCTTTAGTGTCATAAAAAGTCATTTTTCAGGTACCCATGAATTACATAGTGTTTTGGATTATTTTGTTGTGTTGTAAGCAGCCATGGCGAGGAATACATATCCCAGTACTCAGGGAGCTGAGACAGGAGGATTACTACAAATTTAATGCTAATCTTGGCTGCACAGTGAGGCCGCTAAGTTTTGACCCTGTGAGGTGCAGCAGACCAGTAAATTACTAGACTGGTCCACCATGGCTCTCCCTCTAAGCCTCTGGTAAGTATAGAGACTGGGTGTCCAAGGTTAGTGGGCAAGCATTTTGCTGTTTCAGAACAGATGTCCACAGAGACACTCCTTGGCTGATGGTGCTCAACCCAGCCTATCAGATTTATCTGTTTTGAAATTTTGTTTTATGTTTAGAATTTTTTGTTTGTGTTGGGAGCAGGGGGATTGGTTTGATTTTTCAAAAAGGGGCTTCTCTGTGTAGCCCTGATTTTCCTGGAATTTACTATGTAGACCAGACTGGCCTTGAACTCAGGTCCACCTGCCTCTACCTCCTAAGTGTTGTGAATAAAGGCGTGCACCGCCAACCCCATCCCCAACTTTGTGTTGTGTTTTTAACTTCTGAGCCCTTACAAGTCTTCAGCTTGATGAGGAGAATGCTGAAGTTAGTGCCTGGACTTGCATGAGCCCCAAAATAAGACCTGTGACACCAGAGGAGAAGCTTGGTGACCACACTCTGCAGAGCAGTGATGGAAGCCAGGGGCCTGGTGGAGAGGCATGTTCTGTAGCCGCTGAGATTTCCAAAGATGGAGATGTTCATATATACAGTTTCCTACAGAAACCTGGAAATAGTTAAACTGATAAGTTTTGTTTTCTTGTTTTAGGGTTTTTTGTTGTTTATTGAATCAGGGTCTTGCTGGCTATCCTGAAACTCGGTTATGTAGACCAGGCTATTTCTGCCTCCCAAGTGATATGATTAAAGGTGTGTGCCCACTTTGTGACAAGTTCTGAAATTCTAGGTAAGGAAGTGTTTGCTTCAGTATCAGTTCTGTGTGGACAGATATGACGGCTCCATAAGGGACAGAGGGCTTCTAAGACTACACAGAGTCCATCGGATTTCTCGTCCTCAGTTTCCCCTTTGGTCTAACTGGGTCTAGTCTACCATTTTTAGCGCAGTAAGCTGCTCTCCTGCGCTGCCGAGACACAGGTATAGAGGAGGGTGGCAGGGTTGGAAATGGGCAAGGTACACCCTGCTCTGGTGCTCTAAGGTTAGCAAGAGTAAGTTTTCAGGAGTCCCATCCTCTGCTGCAAAACCAATGTGTGCTGCTCACAGCAGTAGTGCAAATCCTGAGGCTGGACGGGTGTGGAGATCAGCTCTTAGGCTGGGGTGACAAACAGCTTTGTAACAAAGTGTTTCCCATCTCAGAAACAAGACTGCCGGTGATTCTGGAATGTAACCTGCTCTAGCAGAGTGTCCTAAAAGATGCCCATTCAGCAGAAAATTGAGGAACCGCAAAAAGTTTTTTTTTTTGAGACAGGGTTTTTCCAACTCAGGCCATCTTGGAACTCCGGCTAGCTCTGAATCCAGAGATCCCTCTGCTACTCCATCTACCTCTGCTTCCCTAGTATGGAGTTTAAATGCTTGTGCTTCCACAGCCCAGTGTAAAAAGGTAGCTTTTAAAGGACCCCAGACCCGGGAAGATGACGCTTTAGTGAGTTTGGATTCCCCACATACAAGCCTGGCGTGGCGATAGGCAACTATAATCCCATCGCTGAAGCTCATCCAGTAAATTCCTGGTTCAGTGAGAAAGCAAGGCATGGTAGCACACTCTTAATCCCAGCACAGAGACAGAGGCAGGTGACACCGAGGTCTGCATAGCAAGTTACTATGTGGATACACTGTATAACAAGCACCATGTGCCTCTGGTGCACATAAGTACACATGCATCTGTTCACACATTGGGTTAGGAAGAGGCATGTCTTTTTTTCGGTGACTCCTCAGTGCTGTCTTGTTTGCTATTGAACCCTTCTGAGGAAGCAGGCTCCCTGAGTGGCCTCCTGTGGAGGAGGAAGTCAGTAGTCTGAAGACCCCACCAGTTTTGCTGGACCCAGGTCAGGTCAGTGTTGTGCTGAGTCCCTGGCTTCTGGACCATGTGTCACATAGCGTGGGTGACTAGTGAAGGCCGTGGAGAACACTGGAGATTCCAAGTTCATCTCACCCAGAGAGACTGGGTGACACAGTCGACGTATGTAACCTGCTCCCCGACCCCAGGCTAGCCTTGAGAGCTTCACCTTTAACAGTTAAGGAAACTCCACCACATCTGATAGTTGTATAGGAGGATTTTGTTAGGTTTTTGAGACAGGGTCTCAAGTAGTTTAGGCTGGCCTCATACTTGCTTTGTCCTCAGAGATGGCCTTGCACTCCTACTAGTTCTGCCACTACCACATGCTTCATTATAGGCGTGTACCATCCTGCCTTGTTTTCTTGTCAGAGTTGGGGATCAGGTCCCTGGCCTTGTGCATGCTGGACAAGAGTCACACCCTCCTCCCGGCTCCTCCCTCTTGAGCCTGTCTGCTCTGAGCTAGTTGACAGGGTAGTTGGGCACACAGCTGTCTGTTCCCTGGCAGGTCACCCATCAGGCGTGTCAAATCCCAAGTTTCGCACAGGAGTGCTAGAGCGTACTGTGGAAATTTATTTCTATGTAAATGGTAAATTTCTGAAGCCAGAAGCCATCTGGCTGGGACACTGAGCACTGTGGGAAATACAAGTTTTGATTTCAATGAGAAGTCAGATTGAACTTGGGAATACCATTTTGGGGGACATATATATTGTTCTGTTTTTTGAGACAGGGTTTCTCTGTGTAGCCCTGGCTGTCCTGGAACTCACTTTGTAGACCATGTTGGCCTCCAACTCACAGAGATCCACCTGCCTTTGCCTAAGTGCTAAGATTAAAGGCGTGCGCCACCACTGCCCGAGTGAACTTGGGAATTTCCTGAGCCTATGTTTGCTCTCTATTCCTCATCCATCTCTGGGCAGCAATATGAAAAGAAGGGAAAGCAAAGGGGTGCTGCTGACCTCCAGACATGGATCACAAACCTAATGTCCAACAGAGAGGTCACCAAAGAGTGAGGTGGCCTGCTGATGGGAAACGTCTCTGTGGGGAAGCACCCTCAGCCACTCCGCCCTGACTGCCATCTTGTGGATCGCTGCACCTTCTGTGGTAGTGTCTGCTGCGGACAGTTGTCTGCGCAGCCAGCGGGAGACTGATGGGTTCTACCCTGTCCTGGGACTCTGTGCCTCAGGCTGAAAGATCTGAGAGCAGGAAGCTGGAGGAAAGTTTTCATCTCTGAAGGATCTGAGTTCTGATTTTCTTTGCCAGGGAAATAATGTCCTGAAAAAGGAAAAGGCAAAAGACAACTAGATTATAAAATGGCATTTTAAAAGGCAGTTAAGGCTGGTGGTGGTGGTGATTAAGTCTTTAATCCAAGCCCTCTGGAGGCAGAGGCAGGCAGATCTCTATGAGTTCCAGGCCAGCCTAGTCTACAGAGCGAGTTTAGGACAGCCAGAGAAACCTTGTTTCAGAAAAAAAAAAATAATAAAAAATTTAAAAAGCCAATTAAAAAAAAATACAGGCCCAGCAAGATGTCCTGGTGAGTAAAGGTGCTCACTGCCAAGGCTGACAACCCATGTTCAACTGGAAGGAGAGACCCAGCCAATTTCCTGTGTTGTCGGCCCCCACAAACGTATACACACACATGCAAAATAAATGTAAATTTGTGTGTGTGTGTGTGTGTGTGTGTGTGTATGGTCATACATCAGCTTCACCCTTGCCCAGGAAGGAATTCCTGATTCTAGTGCAGCAAAAGACGGATTCACCAGCATCACAGTGACCATGACGACGTGGGTGGAGGGTGAGGTTCCTGCGATTCAGTGACCCCCTCAGCAGAAAGTCAGAACAGCGTCCCTGAATGAGTGTCCTCAGGCAACAGGGTCAGCTTAGAAAGTGGCACGCCAGCCGCTGGCGTGGGGCTCGCGGCAGACACTGGAGACACCCAGGTGTGCTTTTCCCATGTGATTCCTGTTCCGGGAATCTGTCTTGAAGTACTGTCTGTGATTCCCTCCTACTATGACAGAGCTGCCATTGAACAGGCTCTCCAGTGACCTGAAGCACAGGTGTGGGGCTGCTTATATTTGGGCTCCGCTGATGATCACAGCACTGCCACCACTGTTGTCTTTCTCCTCACCACCACCCATCACCACCATCATCATCATCGCCTTCCTCACCACCACTACCACCACCACCATCATCGCCTTCCTCACCACCACCCATCACCACCCATCCTCGCCACCACCACCACCATTACCATCAGCACCATCAGAGCCAAGGACTGAAAGGCACATCCCCAAATAAGAATTGATAAGTGAATATAATTTGTGTGCACACTGACCACCTGATCCTCAATAAATGGCATGTATTGGAGATGACACTTGGGAAGAAGAGGTGGTTTCTGGTTTTTGTTTGTTTTTCTCTTAATTACTAAGTTATTTTGGAAGGCAAAAGGTAAAAAAGAAATCAATACAAGGATGAGTGTGGTGGCTACCTCTTTAGCCCTAGCACTCAGGGAGGCAGAAACAGGTGAATATCTGTAAGTTTGAGGTCAGTCTGGTCTACACAGTACCCGGTCAGATGGTACTACATAGAGAACCCTGTCTCCATAACAAGAAAGAAAAGGAAATCAATACACCATGCTTCCTTTGGGATCACTCTGAAACTGCTCGATCGGTGTCTTCAGCTATAGAGAAACAGATAAACTTAATATTTGGTATGCCAAATAATGCTAGTATTTCCATTAGATTAGCATTATTGAGCCCTGCTTTTTACCCTCTGTGACTTATTTTCTGCTGCATTAGGTTTTCTGAGATGTTTCTTACAATCCCTTAAAAGTCTTCCTGAGAATAAGAGTCCACATCATGACAGTGACTTCCAAGAATGCTCTGCCCTGCTTGCCGGGCTCCACCGGTCTGTGAGAGTAACCCTTGGCGGTTTCACCTCCCAGGACCGAGGTCATGAACCCCAAACAGCCCCTTCCCCTGAGGTTGCCCACCTTCACCCAGCCTGAGTCAGCCCCTGCAGACTCACCTGCCCGAAGTGTGACTCGTCAGCCCTCAGTCACGTCAGACTTCCTCTGGAAAGAGAACAGAATGTCCATGCTCCGCCATCATCAGATTCTTTTTTTTTTCCTGCTTTTTTGTTGCTTTGTTTGTTTATTTTTTGTTTTGTCTTCTCTGTGTAGCCCTGGCTGTCCTGGAACTCTGTGGACTAGGCTCAGACTCAGAGATCCGCCTGCCTCTGCATCCCGAATGCCACCACTGCCCTCCTAGATTCCTCTGTCTAAAGAGCCTCCTGTTGACTTTTAAGAAGAGGGCTGCATTTTCAGCTAGTAATTCTAAATTAGGAGATTGCCCTCCTTACCGTACTGCACTCTGTGCTTACACCCTGCACTGGCCCTGTGGCTGTGGGCCCTGAAGTACTGGAGATACTTCAGGAGAAGTATCTTTTGGAGATGTCACGCGTTGGGCCGAGAGGGGAGAGGAAAGGTAGAGACACTAGAAGACGGGAGAAGACTATCCTCACGCGGATGCTTGTTTCCCACATGCTCTCCCACCCGCGGCACAACCTCACTTTATTAATACAGTTAATATGGCGTTAACTCACTAAAGCATAGAACTTGATGGCTTTTATGCTTGGATGCAGAATTTGAAGTTCAGTGCCTTAAAAAGATGGCTCAGTAGTTAAGAGCACTTCCTGTTCTTAGAGAATGCAGGTTCCATTCCCAGCACCTAGATGGCAGCTCACAGCTGTCTGTAACTCCACTCCAAGGTGATCTGACACGCTCTGTTGGTTTTCATGTATTTCACGCATATAATGCACAGACATACATGAACTAAAACACCCATACACATAAAAGAAAAAGAAAATAAGCCAGGTGGTGGTGGCATGCACCTTCAATCCCAGCACTTGGGAGGCAAAAGCAGGTGGATCTCTGTGAGTCTGAGGCCAGCCTGGTCTACAAATAGAGTTCCAGGACAGCCAGGGCTACGCAGAGAAACCATGTCTCTATAAAACAAGGGGCGGAGAGCAAAGAAAAATTGTTCAAAAAAATCTAGGCAGCTAGAGAACAGTAGAGTCGAACATTGAAATCCTGATCTGACAGCAAAGCCCATGCTTCTTCTTCCAGACCCAGGAAACCAGTAGCTCCACAGCTGCTCAACCCACTGCTGCTCCAGCCAAGAACCGAAAGGGCAGAGCTGAGCTAGGCTCCTCATCCTGCTCTGTGCTCCGACGGCAGGGTTAGCCAGCTGTGCTCACTCAGCTACAGCAGAAACCAAGCCAGCCCTGGGCAACAGTGCGGGAATGTGTAGCCAGCTCGCAGCTTTGGTCACAAGATGCCGCAGGCACACGTGAGGTCCTTGGATAATTGTGTATTGAAAATGATACAGTGTGCCTGGGTGCCTATAGTCCCCCTTCAGCAAAACAATCGCTGTTTTCACAAGGATTCTTCAAGGTCAAAGCACTTCTAAAATACATCTGCTCGTTCTAATGTCTACCCCACACTGTGATTCTGCCAAATTCCTACAAGAGAAATGAAATGTGGGGAGAGAAAAATCTGGAGAGAGGGGCTGGAGAGATGGCTCAGCAGTTAAGAGCATTGCCTTTTCTTCCAAAAGTCCTGAGTTCAATTCCCAGCAACCACATGGTGGCTCACAACCATCTGTAATGAGGTCTGGTGCCCTCTTCTGGCCTTCAGACATACACGCAGACAGAATATTGTATACATAATAAATAAATAAATTAAAAAAAATTTTAAAAAAATCTGGAGAGACTGAAGACGGTGCGTGGGATTAAGAGGAGGGTAAGGTCGCGACTGCCATTTTAATCAGTAAAGGCCATCCTGTGTAAGCTATTCTTCAGAGAGAGTTTGTGTGGACAACTGCTTCTCTTTGACTAAGTAAATCTTTTGAAAGAGAAAGAATGCGAACAGTTAAGAACACTCGCATACACGAAGACAGATTTAAGGATCGCTTTGCTTGGAGGCTGAGAACTACGCACAGTGCTCCCAACTGCCACTTTGCCTTCCTGGAAAAGCCTGAACTCTGGAGAAGATGCTGCTGGAACCCTACATTGACCCCCAACCCCTGCCTATGGTGATGACATCAGTCCCTGCAAGCAAACCTCACCCTGGTCTTGCATGGGAAAGGCATCCTGTAAAGATCAGCTTCAGTTTCTTTCCCTAAATGGGGTTCTGGGGGGACCCAGTAGCTTCAGGAGCTCCAGTGAAGGAAAGAGGTCTTGATCCAGCTCTGGCAGTGTACAGTTCCCATCACTAGTCACAGAGATGGGTGGGCCCAGGCTCAGCTAGAGAAGGCTGTCCTCCGGGCTTCCAGTTTCTCCTACGCAGGAGTGTCCTTGGTCCCGGGCCCAGCAGGGGCAAGAGGTTGCCTACTGTCCCTCGTCCAGGTCCAAGGGCTGGTGTTCTCAGGAGGCTTGGGAGATCCCTAAGGTGTCTCAGACATGATGGTGGCCCCTACTATGAAGAGCATTTTGGAATTCCTTGGAGTTGTGAGGCAGGTGCTGTCCTCTGGCTGGATTAACATTGACACTGGAAAGAGCCCCTCAGGACAATTGGAAGGAAGGGGCCAAGTGGAGATCGGCAGAAAATCCCAGACAACAGGAGACCAACACGAAGCAGTCAGGGAAGGTTTCCCAAGGGTCCATGTCCATATTGTCCCAACTCCTTACCTCCACACCCCGGTCAGAAATAGCTGGCTGGTGGCAAATTGAGTTGGATGGACAGAGAGAAGAGAGGGAGCCTGGGAGCCCATGCGCCCCATCTCCTCTTCAGGAACTGTCCTTTCCGTTACCGTCGTGTTTCCAAGACCACCCACACTGCCCCCCAGCCTTCCCCATCAGCTTGAGCCTTCTACCCCATCTTCCCATCCACCTGCCAACCCCCCCCCCACGACTTAACCCAGCTTCAGTGCCTCCTGGGAGGACCCCACCTGGCCCTCCCTCCAGCCGTATTAGGGCTGTTTCCTGCTCATGGGCCTTTTCTGAATGGCTTGCCAGATTTCAACCGTCCACTGACGGCCTTTCTCAGGGCGGACAGGCAGTTCCTGGTCTTGTCTCAACTCCAGGGACCTAGACACATTCGACTTGTGAGAGCCGCGATCCCACCCACCTCTCCACCCACAGTCCCAAGAGGAAGACGGGTACCTTTCCCATCTGCCTTGTAGTCATCAGGGAGGAGCTTGTCCTGTCGATAGCCCAACACGAAAGCCAAGAAGGAGAGGATGAGAGCATCTCCAATACTAAGGATGGCCAGCATGAAGGCCCAGCGGATGGTGCAGTGGCCCAGCGTGTACTTGCCCGTCTGCTCACCACACATGCGCCGTACCTCGCTGGAGTCCCAGCCATCGGGGTAGACCAGGCATCCGATCATTAGGCCTGTGGCTAAGGAGACAAGAGGGCACCAGTGGTGTCAGACCAGGCATGCCCCCATGCCTCCCTCACCTTGAACTACTCTTGTCACCTCACTGATCTCTGGGCCAGCGTTGGGAACCACATGGGGCGGGGCAGCTTCTTCCATCCATGTAAAATACAAGTGGAGAAGCTGAAGCTCACCACACTGAAGTCCTGGGAACTAGCTACCAGGATAGCTGCATGGCGGAACTCCTCAGTCAGGTGGTCCTGCCCCACACAAGGCGGCTCCGCACCACACCAGGAGGCTCTGCCCCATACCAGGCGGCTCTGCCCCACACCAGGCCGCTCCGCCCCGCACCACACCAGGCTGCTCCGCCCCACACTAGGAGGCTCTGCCCCATACCAGGTGGCCCACTGTCCCTCTTCCAATCTCACCCTGAATTTAGCAAGGCACTGCCTACTCTGGTTCCAGAGCCCTCCAGCATCTGGTCCCAAGATGCATCTCTCAGAAGATGCATCTCACTCTCCCTCCGTCCCTGAAGTAAGTGTAATGATGGGGCAGGAGCTGGTCTGGATCAGCAAAACCTTTCATTGTTCAAGGCACACCTCATAACTCGGGTCCTTTGACTGAACACGGGGCCCAGCCCCATCCCTGGCTTCTTTCTTCCTTCACGCATCCTCCTTGCCCTTTCCCTCCGCAATAATGACTGCAAAGGCAGCCATGAGCGGTGAAAGTAGCATCCCCAGAGATGGCAGGGTGCACACAGCATAAGAGAGAGCTGTTCTTCGGTCCACTGCAGTTGGAAGTCTCAACACCCCTGCCTGTGGGTTCCACATTTGCCAAATACTTATAAAATGCTTCTCACGCATTGTATCATTCTCACCGGTTTTCCAAGGGGTGGGGTACCATCACCAGACCCTACAGATCAGGTGCTCCGGGCTGAATGCTTTGAATCCCCCCAAACCTTATATTTGAAATTCTAACCCTCGGAATGTGGGACTTTGGGAAGTAATTAGCTCATGAGACAAAGACCCCATACATGAGATTAGCACCCTTATAAAAGGGACCCCAGAGAGACTTCCTGCCTTTCCCTTCCATCGTGGGCAGAGAAAGAAGTCAGCAGTCGGCAGCTGAAAGATGACACCAGAGCCACACCGTACCAACCTGGGCTCAATCATCCAACCTCCAGGACCACAAGAAATAAATGCCCCCTCCCCTCTGGGAATTTGTTATAATAACCCTAATTCACTAAGATGGGAGGTTACCAAGATTCAGGGAAGGCAACTGAGCCCTCACTTGGCCCATCCCCCCTGCTCTTCCAGTCTTTGAAGCTTCACTCCCTCAAGGGCATGTTTGCTCTCCCTTACGCTTGCCCTGTTCTCTGGCTTTGTGGAAAATTCTGAGGTTAACAGTTTCATCCCCCAGTGGCTGGCTATGGGGCACACCTCTTCAGCCCTCCCCTCTCCCCTCATTACAGGGTGGAACACAACACCACCTTTGTCCTCAGCCCATCAATGCTTCATGGGATGGCACCTGGCCACCTCTGGTATCACTATTTCAGCTCTGTGACCCAGATAGGGGCTGGCTCAAATAGCCTGGGGCTCCTCCACCCAGGCCTTCCTCCTGCTCCTGCTCAGCAAGCACACCTGTTGAGAGATGCTGGTATGGGGGCAGGCAGCTCTGGGAAAGGATGGTGTGCCTCCAGCTTCCTGTATCCTCAAGGGGCAGACCAGCTGGCAAGCACATCCACCACTACTCTTTGGAGCTTCATGGCCCCTTCCTGATATAACCACCATGGACCGCTGTCCCTACCGCCCAGCAAGGCTTGGAGATGGCTTGGGGTTGGGAGGAACTCAGGCCAGGTGTGTGGCCTGCATATCAGACCAGGGATTATTAAATTTGTCTTTGCTTGCTAAGGGCTCACCAAGCCTGAACCAGGACCTTGAAAATACAGGAACACTCACTACTGGGTTGTATGAGGCTTCCCCAGAAAATGAAGTATTTTGTGAATCATGCTTATAAAATATGGGTCTCAATATAAACAGTCTTAGAAATTGGGCAATGGTGACCCATGGCTTTAATTCCAGCACTCAGAAGGCAGAGGCAGGTGGAGCTCTGTGAGTTCAAGGCCAGCTGAGTCTACAGAATGAGTTCCAGGACAGCCATGGATACATAAAGAAACCCTGTCTCAAAACAACAACAACAAAAATTGTCCTAGAATACATCTAATTTGGGGAAATCCTTAATTCTCCCAGGGTCTGATTTGCCTTCTGGCCTGCTATAGCCTTGACCAACTCTAGCCCCCTCTGTCAATCTAGTTCCTCATCCATAGCTGAGGTTCCCTTAGGCTCCGCCTGCCTGAGATTCAGACTCCTGTTTTCGTCACCTCTGACCCCTGCCAAGGTAATACTACTTTAACTAAAGATGTCCTGACACTTTGACTCCAGCCTCCAATCTTCACCACTGCTGATGGGCATCTGTGGGTGGTTAGGGACTAAGAAACCAAAGGCTGTTGAAGGGTATCGGTCATCTCTTCCTGAACTTCAATGGAGACCAAGATCAACTGACCCAAGGACCAAGAGAGTCACCTGAGTCTGGAGCAGGAAAGTGGGCAGGAGATGCCTTGCCTTGGGACCCCCCACAAGCAACTGCCTACCTGACATGGTGTTAAACGGCCCAGGGTAGCCTGTGCACCACCACCTCAGAAAATGGTGTCCTACTTACTGACTCAATACAGAGTTCACATCCAGGGACAAAGATGCTCACTCCACAATAAAAGAAGGGAATAAAAAAACACACAATAAAAGAGGGGAGCTTGGAAGGAAGTCGCTAAGAAGAGAGGTCACAGCCAGCCTACCAGAGGCACTCCAAAATCCTGGAATCTTCCATGGGAGCAGTTGGAGGTAGGAAGAGGCAGGGAATGAGGGTGGAGATCTGGGAAGTGCCATCACCATAGCTCTGGGATTGAACCCTAGCCCACAGGGCAGCAGCCTTTCCTCTCCCTCTGGGAGCAGCAGTGGTGTGGTGGTCTGGGTGTTGGTACTTGTGACTACATCTACCAAGTGTTCTGTGGCCCTCTCCAAAGTACTTCTCTCTGGCTCAGTAGCTCGATAGCATGAGTGGACCAAACAGTGCCACAGCATGGACCCTCACCTTTTAAAAAAATACTTTTAGTTGTATGTGTAAGAGTACGTGACACTTGCACTCACGGACGCATGCCACAGTGTAAATATGGAGGTCACGGGACAACTCAAAGGCATTTGTTCCTTACATTTTGTGAGTCCTGGAGGTTGACCTCGGGGCGTCAGTCATGGTGACAGTACCTTCACCATGAGTCATCTTGCAGTCCCTGCCCCATCCTTTCTATGATTCACAGATTTTCTTCCTTAAGACAGAGTCTCACATTGGGACTGGAGAGATGGCTCAATGGTTCAGAGCACTGGCTGCTCTTCCAGAGGACCCAGATTCAATTTCCAGCACCCACATGGCAGCTCACAATTGTCTGTAACTCCAGTTCCCTGAGATCTGACACCTTCACACCAATGCCCATAAAATAAAGTTATAATAATTACAAAAAAAACAAAACAAAACAAAACAAAAACCCAGACAGAGTCTCACAATGTAGCGCAGGCTGGGCAGGAATTCACAGCTGTCCTCTTGTCTCTGTCTCCCAGGGGGTGGGATTATAGGTGTGAGCAAGCCCAGCTCTGCTCAGAATCTTCTGTGGAACACTGAGTAGAAGAAGGTCCAGTGCCTCCACAAGAATGAGAAACCAACTGTGCCCTGGGTCTGCCCCACCCGCCCTCCCACCGACCCTGCTCACCTGCTGCCAGCTGCATCCAGGCGCAGATCTTGTAGACCGTGGCCGTGTTACAGACAAAGAACAGGCTGAAGCAGATGATGGAGCCAATGATGAGGAACATGGCCAAGGCCACGAAGAACATGGCAGTCTTGAAGGCTCTGGAGGGGATAGAGGAGAAGTCCAGAGGGCCACCCTTGCAGATGAGTTCAGATGAGAGCACGTTGCCCACGCAGTAGGAGAACAGGCCGAAGTAGCCGGCCTGCGGCGTGCTCACACTGTCGCCTATCCAGTAGGGCTGGATGAAGAGAGCCATGACCAGCACCGAGAAACAGATGGTGAGCGTGCCCCACATCACTCCCACAGCGCGTGAGTTGCGCACGTAGTTGGTGTGGTAGATCTTGGCAGCCTCCTGGGCTGGTAGCAACTTCACCATGGCGAAGACCGCAGGACTGGGATAGGGGCACTGGCTGGTTTAGGGTTTACAGCTCTAGGGAGCAGGACCTGGTGTGGGTCACTCCTCAGCCTGGTCTGAGGAGCAGCCAGAGGTCAGCGTGAGCGTGCCCCCGGGCTAGCCAGGAGCGCAGTAGGCCAAGGTCAACCCTGACTTTCTTGAAGGCGCTTTCCGGGAACCGGGAGGGTCTCAGGTGTGAGGCCTCCTCTAGGTCGGTCAAGGTCTGGGCTTGCGCCGCCGCCCTGCCCGCACCTCCCGCTCCCCGTCGTAGGCCACGCCCTGCTGGCTCTGTCGAGCGCGCGTTTCAGCACCACGGGCAGCGCCAGGGCTCGGGGGCGGGGCTGGGAGGGCGGGGCCGGCGAGCGCGAGGAGCCAGATGGGGAAGCACGCCGGAGACCCAGCCCTCTCTTCCTCCCAGAGGGTGGGGCCGCGGCTGTCACATTCCTCCCACTGATTTCAGCAGCAAAACCGCTTCCGGGCCTCTACACCCCGGGCTCCCAGACACCCTTCCAGGACCTCACCTCCCACCAACAACACCATCACCACCACCACCCCATGACGCCGAGGGCTGAAAGTTTCCACTGTGGTTTCGGCTCGGTCTTCCAGCCAAGGATTGCCACTGGTGGGGGCTAGATGACGGTCCCGCCTTCAAAGACCGTGAACCTCAGCTAGTGCAATAACCCCGGCAACTATAAAGAAGAGCAAAATGCATTCCCAAACCGCAGCAGAGCTCGGTGTCCAACACCCGGCCTTGCTCCTCGAGTTTCTGTTTTTGCTGAAGATTTCTTTTTAGAAATATTTGTTTTTCCTGCTGGATGTGGTAGCTCATACCTGTAATTTCAGCACTCAGGAGGTGGAGGCGGGGGTGGGGGGGATCAGAAGTTCAAGGAGAGGCTGCATAAGATCCTGCTTCAAACTGGAAGGTGGTGGCGCACGCCTTTACCTCCAGGGAGGCAGAGGCAGGTGGATCGCTGTGAGTTTGAGGCCAGTCTGGTCTACAGATAGAGTTCCAGGACAGCCAGGGCTACACAGAGAAACCCTGTTTAAAAAAAAAAAATCCTGTCTCAAAAAAAACAAAGAAATAAACCATATATGCCCAGCTTTAGTAGCTCATTACATGACTAATGTAAAAAGTTTATTCTTATAAAAAAAAATAAAACTGGGCTGGAGAGATGGATCAGTGATTAAGAGCACTGGTTGTTCTTCCAGAGGGACTGAGTTCAATTCCCAGCACCCACATGGTGGCTCACAACCATTTATAATAAGATCTGGTGCCCTCTTCTGCCCTGCAGGTATCCATGCAGACAGAACACTGTATTCATAATAAATAAATAAATCTTTTTTTTAAAAAAAAGAATAAAACCTTTATAACCCTGATATTGTAACTTGGGAGCTAAGTAAGGCAGACGTAGGCCTTGTACTGGAGATGGCTCCGTGGGTAAATGTTTGCCGTGCAAGCTTAAGGACCTGAGTTCAAATCCTCAGAACCCATGTAAACATGATGGGCGGTGGAGACGGGAGAATCTGCAAGAGCTTGCAAGTCACTGAGACCAGCTTCTGAAGTAGCATACAAGAGGGACAGCTAGTTCTGATAGCTGAGTCCCACCTCTGACCTCCACATGTAGTCTGTGGCACAGGCAGGTGCACACAGGCACGTGCACACAGGCACGTGCACACAGGCACACACCATCCATTCATGAATCACTGGCATGCTTAAAGACTGAATTATTAAAGCTGGGCTTTAATGGGGTAGTGAGCTTCAAAGAGTTGACAGTGCACACCTTTAATCTCTGCGCTTGGGAGGCAGAGGCAGGGGGGTCGCTGTGAGTTTGAAGCCAGCCTGGTCTGCAGAGAAAGTTCTAGGACATCCAAGGCTACATAGTGAGACCCTGTCTCAAAAATATACAACCACCCAACAACAACGACAACAAAACTGGACTCGAAGTGGGGCATGGTTGCTCACACGCATAATCCCACCACTTGTGTGGTTAAGACAGGGTTATCCCATGCCCAAGGCTAGCCTCAGTTAGCATGAGACATCATTCAAATTAAGGAGTTTAGATTTAGACAACAGAGGCTGGACCAAAATCCTGACATCCTTATTTAGCTCTGGACACAGATGACTCGGGACTCCTCTTGCTCGAGAGCATTGGCAACATGAGCAAGTTTGCTGGGGTGGGGTAAGATGCCCCCCCCCAGAATGGCACTCAGGACTTCCCCAAAAGGTAGGCTTCATAAGGGGTGGGATTGTGCACACTCTTAACTACCCACTAACCCACTAGCCCAGAACCTGTGCATGGTGTTTCATGGTGGTGGTGGTGGGGGTTCTTTACAGAAATGCCTAACTAAAAATTCTTTAAGATATATTTTTATTCTAACTGAAATTTTCATATATTTATACATTTTTAAAAGTATTTATTATTACTTATACAGTGTTTTGCCTTTCTGTATGCTTGTAGGCCAGAAGGGGGCACCAGATCTCATTATGGATGGTTGTGAGCCACCATGTGGGTGCTGGGATTTGAACTCAGGTCCTCTGGAAGAGCAGCCATTGCTCTTAACCACTGAACCATCTCTCCAGACCCTCATACAATGTTTTTTAAATATTTTCTTATTTTTGTTCAATGTCTAGTGTGGGTGTTTTGCCTGCATGTATGTCTTTGCCTTCCAGAACTGGCGTTACAGAGGTTGTGAGCTGCTGTGTGGGTGCTGGGAATTGAACCTGGGTGTTCTGGAAGAGCAGCCAATGGGCTTACCTACAGAACCATCTCTCCAGTCCCTTACCCAAGATATTTTTTTAAAAAAAATGATGATAATAAGTTCAGCAAAAGATGGGAAGCATCCAGAATTCACACGCTGCTGGTGGGACTGAGTATCAGTTCAGCCCCTTGAAGAACTGAGCCTCTCAGAGACTGAAATAGGCATCTGTCATGTGACCCAGACATCTGACTCCTGGGTATTTCACCCAGAGAAATGAACATTTGTGTTTACACAAGAACTTTTCCATGCTGTCTTCTTAGCTAGGATTATCATTGCTGGGGTAAAATACCACCACCAAGAGCAACTGTGGAGGGAAGGGTTTGTTTAGCTTACACTTCCACATCTCTGAAGGAAGCCAGGACAGGAATTGAAACACCAGGAACCTGGAGGCAGGAGCTGATGCAGAAGATATGAAGTGTGTTGCCCTTGTAGCTTCCTCAGCCTCCTTTCTGATAGCATCCGGGACCACCAGCTCCGGGGACACCACCACAATGGGCCTGGCCCTCCCTCATCAACACCAATTTAGAAAATGCCCTATAAGACTGCCGGCAGCCCAGGATTACAGGGGCATTTTTTTTAAATAGAGGATTCCTTCTCCCTGATGACTGTAGTTTGTGTCAAGTTGACATAGCGCTAGCTGCTGTGAGCCACAAGCACTATACAGTAGAAATACAGCTGACAGATCACTATTTGTATCTTTACCCCTTAAAAAATACAGGAAAAAAGCTGAGATCACTAAATGAGCCCCAGAGAAAGGAATTCCTGCTCACCTGGGTGCCAGCAGATATAGTACCCTCACAGCACCCTGCTTAGCTGGCGGGAAAGACAAGCAACATCCACTTATGCTGGTTGCCTTGGCTACCACAAACACTGTGTTCCCAGACGCTGCTGGAAGTACTTAGAGTACACAACTAGCCAGTACATGCGTGCACACACTTTGTATAGCAATTGCCCCCAATTTTTTTGAGGGGGTTCAAGACAGGGTTTCTCTGTAGCTTTGGTGCCTGTCCTGGAACTAGCTCTGTAGACCAGACTGGCCTTGAACTCACAGAGATCCACCTGCCTCTGTCTCCTAGGTGCTGGGATTAAAGGCGTACGCCACCACTGCCCTGCGCCCCAAACTTTTAAGAAACAATCCAAATGCCATATATCTGTGCAGTTCCACTGTTCACTAGACCACTGCTGAGCAGTAGAGAGAGGCCATCTTGGGAGCTGAGTGTGGCAGTGTGCACCCTGGGAGACTGAGAAAAGAGGATCACCGTGAGCTTGAGGCCAGCCTGGGCTACAGAGTGAGAACCCTGCCTCGAAAACCAGCAAGCAAAGACTTGGACTCAGTGTTAGAGCCTGTATGTAGATGGTCCTGTGGCCAATCCTAAGAACAGAACCCTATATGCATTGAAAAGAGAGAAAGGGAGGAAGTGGGGGGGGGAGGGGCACCTGCCACAGCATGCAAGGAACTCCCTGCACTACGTCACAGAAGCCTGATCACCAAAAGCAGTGCAGTATGGGACTCCATCCATATGACCCTGGAGGCTAAACTACAGAGGAAGAAAGCAGATTGTAACTGCTTCCGTGTGGTAGGGGCAGGTGATGAGGGATACTGCAAGGGGGTCTTTGTAGAGTGAGGATATTCGTTAATCCCAAAGATGTAAGGAGAAAGACCACCAACCCAAATCATTATGGTCAAGTTAATCAAAGCAAACAATTAATTAAAGCAAGCTTTTTTTTTTATTCATGTACACAGGCTTCTCTCCCCCTAAAGGGTATAAGAGGTCAACACTGGGCATGAGAAAGACAAGGTTTTTATAGCTCAGGGGTAGAGGGGGGGGTCTCCAAATCCCAAAATAGGTGGGGTTACAGGAACATAAGCCAAACAGCCGAGTCATAACAAGCTCCTGAAACAGAGACATGATTGCAGGGTTGGCATAAGAAGGTAGTCATAACAACATAGTTATAGCAACCTTTTGAAACAAAGGTAGGGTTGCAAGATGGCTATAAACAACTTTTTGAAACAAAAACATGACTGCCAATCCTGGAACAGGCAGTACAGAACCATTTGTAGTTAAGGTTATAGGTGGAGCATAGCCCAGTCCTTGAGAAACAGATTTAATCATAAACAGGAATGAGCCTAGTTTGTCTTTCCTATAAGATGACTTGCAAGCTGGTTCATCGTATTATTTTTCTATTCTATAATTTCACGTGCCCATGTAGAATGTACTTTGATCACTCCCCTCCACGTCTGCTCTTACCCTCTCCCCTCCCACTGCACCTCTTCTATTTCTCATCTTTTTCAATTTGACCCACAACATTTAATTAAGGTTGCTTGAATAAACGTGGCTGGTTTGGGTTATTTACTTGAACAAGCCCAATTTCCCTACCAGTGGTTACACCACCAAAGATGCCCTCCCCCAGCAACCAGTAACCACCAATAGGTCTTCCGGGAAGGGCAGGGCCTTATGAGACCCCCACCATTATTGACAGTAGGTTGAGGGAGGGGCCCAAAGGTGT